ATTGATGGACCAATGCCATTTCTTTCTTTCTATATGTCTGCTTGCCCAACTCTCTCTCTCTCTCTCTCTCTCTCTTGGGTTATCTTATTTTTCAACGAAATCACGTTAATCTTACCTGTATATAAAATCATCTGTACCGCTTTGTTTTCTCCCATTAACATATTGTATACACGGGTTTCAATGTATTTTGTATTGTGGGTGTACGTTTTATATATTAGTCTATATCTTGGTCATCGGCAGGAAATGTACAAACATCTAACGAAGTAATACAAAATAGTACTTTCTCTCAAATTAGAACAACTGAAGCACAACGAGATTTCAGATATATCATGTTCTGCAGTATAACAATCACTAGATTATATAATAATGGATTTTTGTCCATTTAAGGTCATAAAAACAATACTTCGATTCTGTTAGGAGACTACATCGATACTTTTATGACTTCAAGGTCCTGGGATACGGTATTTAAAATATAAATGTATCTTTACTGCAGAACAGTACAATAGCATTTGCCGCAAACTATTCTTTATTGCAACGAAAGTTAATGTCTGGTGGTCACCAGGGGATTTAGTTATTTGTATTACTGTCTTTTCTTGTATGTTATAATGTTGGAGAGATATTCTTCATATGTCTTTTTTTTGTTTATCTCTGTTACGAGGGTTCATTGTTGGAAAACTAGTTTAGAAACTGAATGATTATCCAGTCATTTTCAGGTGTCATAGCATATAATTCTCACGGTACTCGCTAAGAATACATAAAGACAAACAGTAATGAAAGGGAGATAACTTTTGGTTTATTGTGATCCATTCAAGGCGTTTTTAAGAAATTTGTGTGCACCCCTATTCCGAAGATGTCTCGTAATATTTATATATATTTAAATGGGATGGGTTGCAGTAAAATAAAGGGCAATAATTCAGACGGCATAGTATCCGCATAAAAGTTCGTTTATATCTTGTCGTCATAGGTTCTGTCGTATATGTCATGTGTCCACTTTAATTCATATTAGAGCTCAGAAGCTTTACTTAGGTTATAAAACATATATTAAAATTAGCTTCGACCATCAGACTCAAATAGCAGGCGTGCTAGACAAATCTTTCTCGTTTTCCCTAGAAAAGTAACTCCACGTACGTTGATCAAAGACCTTAATGCGGGCTTAGCCCCACGACACCAAAGTATCATTTTGCATATCTGATGCCTATCAATCTTGTCTTTAGGTCGGGTTTGCGGGCGTTGACAAAAGACCTTGGAAATATTTGCAGAAATACAGATGCTATAATAAATTAATTGGTCTTTTGCCAGACGTCTTCTCGTTGTTCCTTCTTGCAACTGTAATAGGTAAGCCAAACTATCTCTAGATATGTCAGCAGTAGCCAAACCAACCTATGTTGTACATCTTACACCTACACTCAACATATTGACTGCAAATAAACCAACAACATGAATTTCAATTGCTAATCTAAGAATAATATTTACATGGACATATTGCAGATTTATCTCAGTCAACGTGTAGTGCAGAAGTTTAGACCACCCTCCACGTTGTGAATTTTGCTTACCTGGATTTTAGCAAACTTCTTTCTACTGAGTCTCCATTTCAGCGTCCAGAGCCATTTTAAGATAGTTACAGGGCCATAGACACAAACTCTATCCTTAAAAGTAACTAGAATTGCGTCTCAATCTCTCAGTCTCAGATATTGAGTATTGCATTGCATTTCCATGTGCAAGTGTGTTTTATTTTTCTTAAATTTATTAATATAGTACTAAAATGCTAACACAACCAACTCCGAAATTTTGTTTTTTGGCCGCTGCGGGACAATTGACGCACGGGGCCGTAGGCACGCGCCTTGCGTGCCCATGCCTTTAAACGGCACTGCTGCGTCCCCCTAATTTGTACTGAGGTAGCTTTTATCTCATTCAGGAAGCAAGATCACAATTTTGCTAACCAATAATGTGGATAGTTAGCGATATCGCCTATATGCAATTATAAGTAGAAGTTTCTTGCTGTCGTATATAATAAGCACCGCAAATGGGCAACTATATTTTTGTGTGATAAACATACGTTTCCCATATACAGGGAATAATATATTAGTATTAATAGTTCAATGTCTGTTTTACGTAGGCTGTAACAGTCAGATTTGTTAGATATAATACGGACACTTATTATATGGGCTACGTCACTATATATGCGCCTCCGCTGTCCTGCCGTTTAATACCCAGTTTTCGATATTATCCCTATGACGACAAGATCAGCAGAGTCTAATATAATTGTAATCGCTCCGGTGGCCTAGTGGATAGAGCGTCCGCCTCGGATGCGGGAGGTCGTGGGTTCTATCCCCTGTCGAGTCATACCAAACACGAACAAAAATGGTACAAACAGCTGCCTCGCTTGACGATCAGCATTAAGAGGTTAGTGGTATGACTGGTCGGCCTGGTGTCAGGATAATGTGATTGGGTGGGTCATCACGCTAAATGTCTGCGGTATGATGCCCCAGTGCTAGACATCACTATAAACTGCCCCACTGCATACATCGTAGCGATATGATTGAATTATTGTTAAAGCTACGTTAAAAATCATAATCACATCACATAATCACATCACTAATATAATTGTCCTAAATATCTGGCTCCTTGAATTTGTTTTATGGTGATTGTTGCTAAGGTTAATCAAAGTCTTGATTGTAATGAAAACTAATATATTTTCAATTGAGTGCGCAAACATGTACTTTTAAGAAACATAAGTTTTCGGACACGTACGCGATGAACATAATACAAATTTGAGAAATGTTCTCAAACGTTCCCTCGAAAAGCAATCCGTTTACATGAGTAAAAGCAAGAAGAAGGTGTTACAGAAGCACAGGCATATTCAGTCGGCAGATGAACTCATGCCCGACCAGCGACCAGAGAAATGCAACCCCTCGTATCCAGGCGGAGTTTGAAACCATTCCTGGCATGGTTAACTATTTGTCCAAATTTGTATCAAATCTGGCAGAGGTCACAAGTCCGTTAGGACAATTGTTAGAAAATAAGGTAGAGTTTACACGGGACTCTCTGCAAATAGACGATTTTCAAAAGGTCAAATATATAATTACTATAAGCGCGTGATCTCTTCTGTCCTATTTAACCCTACGAATCCACTGACTTTGAAAGCTGATGCGTCAAAATATGGGCTCGGTGCCTCCCTAATGTACCCGTGGCTAATGCAACAAATCATTGACGACGACTGAAATTAATTATGCTTACTGAAGTTAATTATGCTTACTGAAGTTAATTATGCTTACTGAAGTTAATTATGCTCCGATAGAGAAAGAAATGTTCGCTCTACTGTTCTGATCCAAACGGTTCCATAAAAATGTATACTCGAGAAAGGTTCACGTTGAGACTGACCACATTTCACTTGTCTCTATAATTAAAAATCCTCTCTATGCAGCCCCACCGTGACTAAAACTGCATGCTTTTGCAACTGGAGTTATTACCTAGAGGTAGAACATTACAAGTTAAGACCATACCTGTAGCAGATGCTCTTCCGTAAGGCATTGTCTGATACACACCCCACCTTATCTGAAGGTATTAATATGCATTTGCATATAGTGTTATCAGCATTACCTTTATCTGATCGTAAGATGGAAGAAATTCAATCTCTCACTGAAAAAGTGCCCCCGCTGGTCGTACTAAAACAGGCCTTAATTGAAGGTTGGCCTGAAAGGAGGTCAAGCTATCAATCAGAGATAATTGGCTATTGGATTTATAGAAATACACTTTCAGTTGTAGATGAGTTAATCTTGAAAGGTCAAAATATAGTAATACCACGAGCCCTCTGGTAGAAAAGGCTAGAAACTATAGATTCAGGATATCTGGTTATGGAGAAGTGTGATTGCCCGAGGCAAAAAGTCGTAACCGACCTATTTACCAGCGATACTAAAGAGTACCTTGCAGTAGTAGATTATTTCAGTCGCTACTTCGAAGTTAAGGCACTCGCAAGCTCAAATAGTTGCAATGTTATCTGTCCAATAGAAAACATATTTGCGAGCTTTGAAATACCGGCAAACAAACGCTAAATAGGTCAAGACAGATATCAGAAATATGTGTCTATGTAAATATAAGTTATGAAGGTTATAAACCTATTGTATGTAAATGGATCAGAAAATATGTTGTAATATGGCTTTTAAAGCAGAATGGATGAATTCTTTGCTAGTACGAATGTGGGAGTTTTTCAAAAATAAATTTCTCCGACGATAACAAAATGACGATACATTATTGGAACATATTTGTTCTTTCCTGGAATATCAGTACATGGTCAGAATATTTTATCGGACCTTCCATCAATACTGCAGAATAATTGACGTTTTATTGCAGTGTAAAAGATCCAGCACTTAAGGTCCCTGTCGGGTAAACCATTCATTCTCTATGAACTACATACCAGATTTACATATCAGAAAATGATCATGCTATACGAGTAATTATGTTTCGTGTTTTAACGGAAAATAATTGCATCCGTAAAGGTGTTTAAATACAGAGGAATTGGATCATTAAAGAAAAAAATAGATTTATAAGATCGGGTGATATAAATGACTAAGGAACATTTTTTAAAGTTCGGATTATGAGAGATGGCGGAGATAAAGTTTCTAAAAAGATATCAACTCAACGTTTGGTGATTACATGTGGCAAATAAATTTGTGATAATGACGACTATTTCAGATTGTACTTTACCACAGCATGACATTTTAATTAACTCTTTCACTTAAAAGCTTACAAAGCAATATCAAATCTATTGTTGAAAATAGTGATAATTCATATTTATAGACTAAAAAAAAGATTTAAAACATAAGTTTCACCATTTGAAAGCATTGACATTAGAAATGTATAAAATATTTCAGTATCACCATTTATTTTATACATTATTCTAATAATTTTTCAAAGGTTTAGATCGAAAGCAATGACAACCGAGTTAATTTTAAAATCTTAGTTTTACAATTAGAAATATTTACGCTATCTTTTTTAAAATCAGTTCGATATCCAGACATAGTGGTTAGAGCGTCCACCTCGGATGCGGGAGGTCGTGGGTTCGATCCCCGGTCGAGTCATTCCAAAGACTTACAAAAATTGTACTAACAGCTGCCTCGCTTGACGCTTAGCATTAAGAGGTTAGTGTTAGGACTGGTCGGCCTGGTGTCAGGATAATGTGACTGGGTGGGACATCATGCTTCATGTCTGCGGCATTATGCCCCAGTGCTAGACATCACTATAAACTGCCACCCTGCAGACATCGTAGCGATATCACTGAAAAATTGTTAAAGCTACGTCAACAAAATTACAAACACACAAATAATAAAGTTCTTCCACCTTGTACTGTATAGGTGGCAGATTATGCAGATGTTCTCATTGATATTCACGTGGTAATGAAAAGAGAATTTCTTTGCTTGGAAATAAACGTCACTAGCAAACAGTGTCTTAGTTGTTGAAACATATCATGATCAAATCAATGCTTAGTGCAAAAAAGTAATAAACAGCACAACAATAGTAGATATTCAGACTTAACAAAATCCATTTTATTAATAATTGCATTGATATTATTTTCTTAATGTTAACGTAGATATCGGGTACTAATAACTGCATCATTTAGCTGCGTTCTCTCTGAACATATTGGCGAAAATTTTTCACTTCAGAATTGTACCATAATCTTATATAAATCGATCATGAGACTACCTTTGACATTTTCTTTTCTTTTTTTTTCTTCAGAAATTTGACGTCTTTTCTCAGAAAACTACTTTGAAGATGAGATGCATACAGTACTGAGAGAATCAAAGAGACATTCACCTACCCCATTGCATACTCTTTTACTTGTGCCATAAATATTTGTCTATCGCAATGCCTGCATGCTGCTAACCGATAAAAAAAACAGCGTTAACGCGTACATCTCTTGAAAAATAACGATTTTCTTGCGCAATGCGTATTCTTTCGATGAATTCACCCGTGCATTATCCTTCAGAATTTTATATAAATGATATTGTTGCTCAATAGCATTAAGATAAAACATAACATAAAATGACTTTTTAAACAACCGTTTAACAGAGCTATTCGAAGCAGCGTAGATAGCTGGCAGTGACTGTCACATATTACAATCTGCAACCCCTTTGTCCTTTTAGACTCACTGGTAAATTAGCTGACACTAAATGAAGTTTAACCCTTGTGGTAAAGAGTTATGTTTATAATTTTCCTTAATTAGATGTATAGGTTCCCTGCATTGCATCAAACGAATCAATTTAGTTTCGGTTTACATAATACAATTTAATTTGAGTTCTTGGAAAGAGGAAACTGATGGTTTGTATTAATTGTTACATATAAATCTGTAGCTATCCAGTATCATAATAAAGTTATTATTTTCAGGATCATTTAACATTATCATCTAAAGGGGAAAAAATCCAACTTCCGTGATGCTTGCATTGGTAGACATTTAATACCTAGTAATCTAAAGAACTAGGCTAACACAAATGCCATCAAATCACCTACTGTCAGCTTCACACAAAAACCATGAACAGTTAAAGCTTTATTTTTTATAATTATGAAACGTGGTAATAATAATAATAATAATAATAATAATAATAATAATAATAATAATAAAATAAAAAAATAAAATAAATTAATAATAATAATAATAATAATAATAATAATAATAATAATAATAATAATAATAATAATAATAATAATAATAATAATAATAAACGTGGTAATAATAATTATAATAATAAAATAAAAATGAAATTAATAATAATAATAATAATAATAATAATAATAATAATAATAATAATAATAATAATAATAATAATAATAATAATAATAATAATAATAATAATAATAATAATAATAATAATAATAATAAAATAAAAATGAAATTAATAATAATAATAATAATAATAATAATAATAATAATAATAATAATAATAATAATAATAATAATAATAATAATAATGTTCACCTGAAACGTGCATAGGTTGTTATCGGCACTTTCCATTTTCCAAATCACTACTGGTATAATCCTCAAAACCATTCATCTGTAGCCATGATATTCGATTGGAAAATTTTATGAGAAACTGGAACACAATTGGAATATCATTAATAGCATATTAAAAAGATAATGTTTCAGTTAGAGTTCGTATTGTTTATAGTTGTAATAAAATTATAACTAGTATTAAAAATTGAATTAATCATCCTGTTGATGAGCTTAGTTACTGTAGTCCGGCTATATCAACCCTTTTGTTTGTACCCCCTATCAGTTTTAATAATGGAAACCTTTAATGTGATACAAAGTGCAAGGAACTTAGTTCAATCATTGATTTATATTTTCTAACCTGACTCTGATTGGCGTCATCTGTACGTTTCATGCTTAACGGAAGTTTTCAATATAATATAATAGACGGACATCCTCGAGATCCATTTCCAGTTCCTGGACAAGACCATTTTCAGCAAAGGGGTGTATGCACAACTACAGATGTGCATACATATGTCGTCTGCTTCCGATGTTTACAATGTCAAATCAAGCAAAGGAAAAAAATGACAATAACACATTTGCATTCCATGTGGATT